ATATGCTGACTCTCTGTAAACCGCTTAGAGAGGCCTGAAAGGCCTATGAAGCGGTATATAAGTCTACTGCTATTGCTATTGCTATTGCTATCTGGCCCCAAGCAGCCATAAACTGCGTTACCTCCTAAGCTTCATAACAACATTGTTTATCTTTTTTTAAAGTATAATCATTGTGTTTTTATATTCATGTTAATTGTAGCTTAGATAGCTCACCAGCAAGAGAAAGTGAAAGAAATTATGTTTCTGCCTTCTTTATCATGACTAGTGGTATTTGCTTTGTGCAACTTGGTGGCTTCTAGATGCATTGGACTACAACTCCCATGAACTCTATTGAATACAAAAAAATAGGAATTATGGGACAAGGTGTCTGACACATATGGAATTCATCTGCTTGGAGACAACTCTGGTATCATTTTAGTGTGCTTACTTGATATAACTTTTATTCTAAGTTTTCAGCCATTAAAACTAAATCATTATTAAAACAGACAATTAGATAGAAGTTGATGGAGGAAATTAGTAAACTACTTCTGACTTTGAAATGGACCAGATTGTTTGCCTCTAGTTACCAAATAGCTTGTTCATTGCAAAGCCAATTTGAATTTGCTCCTGCCCTTACCCATAGGTGCCTTCACACTGCAAGTGCCTTTCAAACTGAGTGGACTTTGGGTTGGACATCACCAGGTTTAGTTATAACTGCAATTTTATCAGAACTGGATATAAATTGCTTAAATAAAATATGGAAAAGATGGTTTACATTGCTTTTCCTCTCATAAAGGATAGTATACATATGTGAAATGGCTTAATATGTCCCACTGTGGAACATAATAGAGATAATGTGTGCACTTTTCTTTCCTTTAACTAGGCATTTTCCAGCTGGGCATAATGGAAAGCAGCTGCTAAGATTCTTAAAAACATCCTTAAGAAGTGACTCTAATAGAAGGAATATTAACTCTACTAAAGGCCAGGAGGATGTTAATTTATATTTCAAAAGTGTCTTCCCTAAGTTCTTTTATCCACTAATCATAATCAGACATTCAATATGCAGGGTCCCAAAGGCAATTTATGATAGTTCTCATAGTTATTGACTGGATAGACTCAGATAAAAACAATAAAGAACCTTGTGACACTTTAAAAACTAATATACTTATTATAACACTTGTTTCCATGCTCTCAGAGCTTGAGGCAAGTGGTCCTGAGCCAGAGGGAGAAACTTTCATTCAGATTTTAAACATTTATTTTTAATTACATGTTTGAACTGCTGGTTTCCAAGATATCCAGGCAGCTTCCATGACTTTCTCCTCTCTTCACTGAATCTTCACACCATCCCTTATGGATGGCTCTAAAGTCAATGAATAACTTAATATTGTTGTTGGGGGAATCTGATTCTTCCCAATATACACTCTAATTACTTCACAATTTTGACTCTCTGGAAAACTGTTGCAACAGCAGGGCCATTTTTGAAAGCTATAGATGCTGCTGACCTTTGAACTGAAAGAAAATGGTTGCATTAATAATGGCTGATTAACTTCAGCAACACATTGTGCCAGCTTTATTTGTTATATAAATATTGCTAATTCACGCTAGCTCCCTTCAGTTTTGATTGAAAAGTTCCTAAACTTCTGTTGCAATGCCATTCTCTTGTTTTGGTTTTCCCTTCAATGGCTGAAATATGAAAAAAATTATTCATGCTAATCAGCAGATCAGCCTATTTTCTCCTATGCACTGATCAAATAAAAATTTGAGGATGGCGGGAGTTAGATATGTCAGAAAGGGTATTGAATTCAATTCTGCAGGTACAGTTCAGAAAGCTACTTAATAGCAAGGAATGATTTGCACTGTGAGCTATCTCTGATCAAGACCTTCTCCTCCTTCTGTCAGTTCTTTTCACTCTGATCCACACTGGAGCATCAAAGATTCAGCGAAAATATTGATATAGCATGAAGCTACAGTGAAAAGGCAGAAACTCTTATTGGTGTCTGGGAATTATTGAGAAAGGAGTGAACATTAATTTTGCCAAATGAATATGATGGAATACAACACAAAGAGAGTAGGAAATAGCTTTCTATCTCATAATCTTCGAATGTGAGTTCATCCAAGAAAGCTAAATATTATTAATTTTAGACAGATTCACACAATGTATAGTTATGAAATTATTTAGTAAAAAAGGTAATGATGACAATCAAGTTAGAAGGCTTTCAAATGAATTAAACACATTTTAGAGATAAATACTGTATGCCATGAAGCCTTGTGTTATTTCCTACATTGAAAAGTCACATTAATGCTCAGAGTAATACTTTCTAGAGAGTTAGAATTTGATTGGCAGCCATAGGAACAAAGGCCGAAGAATTCAAAACACAGAAATCTTGATAGAAAGAGAAAAATGTACGAACCGCAACTACATTACATTGATGCTGAATATGAATGGAAATGGTACTAGGGTACTAGGTTCATAACAATGTATTTTTTCCCCTAATATAACTTGTAACAAACTGCTAATGTACATCCTTTTCCTCCTTTTCTTTCTCAGAGACAAGGTGCTGGAGCAACAAACGGAAAAGGCAAGGCCCCTAATGACAATGGTAAGAATAGTTGGATTATATTCAGTTCCACCGGCTCCTGCAGAAAACCCTAAACACAGAACTAATTGGTATCAGACACTAGTGAAGCCACTTTCCCAGCAAGTCTGCTTTAAACAGCAGGCTTTGTCAAAACTCCTCTCACAAATTAAAAAATAGTTAACTGGTTCTGAGTCAGCCTTGCTTTAAAGACATCTTTAAGTCTTGATAGTCTTCTTTTTAATATATAAATGATTAATAGAAGATGAAATTTTTGCTTGTGCAATCTAAAGATGTGACTTGTGGTTTTTAGAATTTGATTTTGCCTTTTTAGCATTCCATTTCTTTCTCTATGTATCTTCATTTCGCCTTCCTTCATACACACTAGAGATCTATTACATACGTGCTCCAGAAAGGCTTTGGCCTGGTCTAATCAAAAATTATAAAGCGGTTATGATGGGACAAAAGTGCATCTTAATAACTCTTCCTCTCTGTTGTCAAGAAGGTCCTGTTCTGTAAGTTAGGTATCGAGTGTGTGATCTGAGGACCTTTCTGGAGATGGCTCTTGCATTCATTGCTTCTCTAAGCTTGTTAAATAGCAGGTTGCTGTGAAAAAGAATTGCAGAAATGGCCAGCTGGAAAACATCAGGGGTTTAGCTGTTTTTTTTTTTTAGGATTAGGGTTTTTTATTCCCATGAAGATCCAAGGATTTCTAGTCAAAATATGTTTCCTTTTCCTACCATAAGGTTTGGAGAATTGCAAGTATACCTTATACTTGGGGAAACTGAACTGAATGTGGAAGTAGCAGTTCTTCTGGTCTGTCTATGATGGGTTGGAAATATTCCTATTCATGCTGTTGGCACAGGCTTGAGGGAGTGGGGTGATTTTAAAAAAATTAAGCTCACAGCCACACTTGCTATTTTGGCAGAAAAGATATTGATGGTATCCAAGTAAGAGCTGAACTAGTAGAATTTCTTTTTCCACAATAGAGTAGCTGACTTCAAATAGCTTAGTGTCAGTGTAGGACACGGAATTAGGGGAAGGCTGTATGTATGTGCAAGAAGTGGAAAACTATGGATTTGTAAATCTGTTCAAATGGGAAGGGAATATTGTCTCAATCTACTGCCATTCTGGGATCCATTCATTCCCCCCACCAGCACCAGCAGTCAGACTTACCACCAGCAGCTCCACCACTGATAGCAAAGCAAACAGGTTGCCATCCCAACCTTTCTTCCATCCACTTTTCTTCAGTAGTAATTTATCATTCTGTGATCACCAAGAATATTTTTGCTAGGTAGGCTTCTCTCTAGGGAAGAGCAAGGAAATGTTTTCCACCCAGTTTTTTTTTGTGTGTGTGCATGTTTTATACACATCTTGAGGCTTTCCTAAGTCTTCTAAAAGTGCCACTGATATATCAATGGTACTATTCAGGTTATATATGCAAACACATTCATCTTTAACATTGAAGAAAAAAAATGGAATCATGGTATCAGAGGCTGTGCATCACATTCTTCATCTATTCAAAGATCTTTCTGGATAAAGCCCTGTAAGAGGTTTGCTATCTAAAGGGAGAATAATATGGTGGTTTGGAAGCATAATACTGCAGTTTTTAAGCCTGCATTAAACTGCAGTAAATCCTGCCCCTGTCAGATACCCGTGTCAAGTTGTCTCTTGCTTCTCATCTGCCATATGCAGCAGCATTTTGCTTGCTGACTCAGATGAAAAGCTGATTTGGTCTGTGTCAGGTGAATCAATGAGCAAGTAAGCTAGCTTAGGGTTCTGATAGCAGTGCCTTTTTGATAACATGTTGTTGTTTTTTTGGTTGTAACTGTTCTCAGTAGGAAATGGTCTCAGCTCATAGACTGGCTGGGTTCATGTTGTACAATTGGTACCAGAAGATGAAGTGGTGGGGGTGTGTGTGGAGCAAAAGAGTATCCAAACAACTATTGCTTGCCCTTTCTTTTTAAATCTCTGCCTGACAGTCAGCTGTACTATTCCTACCCAGAAGAAAGGCACTTCCTGTGTCCAAGATGCACTGGAGGAGAGCATGGGGTGCAATGGACATTTTTTCAACAATATGCTCAAAATAAGATCTCAAGTGTAATGTTTTTGTACTGAGAGCTGCTGTGGTTAAATCTCTCATTAGCACTGGCAGAGAAGGCATTTGGTGGGTCCCAGGAGATGTGCCCTCTCAACTGTGATGTCCACCTTATGGAACATCTTCCTCCACCAAAAAGAAACATTAAATCAACTCCATTCCTTTTGATTATTTTTTAAAGTGGCTTGATATATATCAGGCTTGGGACTCCTAGAGAACTGGAGACTTGCGTAGATAGCTTTATTGTTGGGGGGGGGGGCATTTTTAATCCTCCTTTTGCCTACGTTTTTTTTTTTTTGCTTTAGAGGATATTTTCTAATACATTTTAAAATATTTTTAGCTGTTGTTTAATTTTTTCTATTTTATCCCATTGTTGTACACCGCTCAACTGCTATTTGTGCAGTTGATGTACATTTGATTATTTAATAAAGAAATAGCCATCCAAATTTTTTCCCTTTCCTCTGTTAGAGCTATACAGAAAGTTGTCTATTTTTTAAAGGGGAACAGCCTGCCTTAGCCCAGCAGTTATTAGATGCACTGAAATCTGCAGCAATAGCTTGTGCTCCTGTGCACAATTCCAGTCGTCTTATTCTGCAATAGTCAGAATAAAACTGTTCAGCCAAACAGGACCAGATCCACCGCATAATGGTAGCCTATCATATGTTAGCTAAATATCCCACAGAAATATTTTGTTTAATGATTCTGAATGACACTGAGAAGATGAGCAGATAGATGGTTTCTCCCTCCCATCCTCTTCTCCTGGATTCACCCTTCAAGTAATTTGTCTGAAGAGCCGAGGTGGAGCAGTGGTTAGAGTGCAGTACTGCAGGCCACTTCAGCTGACTGCTATCTGCAGTTCGGCGGTTCAAATCTCACCGGCTCAAGGTTGACTCAGCCTTCCATCCTTCCGAGGTGGGTGAAATGAGGACCCAGACTGTGGGGGCAATATGCTGATTCTGTAAACCGCTTAGAGAGGGCTGAAAGCCCTATGAAGCGGTATATAAGTCTAACTGCTATTGCTATTGCTATTATCCACTATATGAGGTAAACAGGAAATAATGCCTTCCATTAAAACAGTGGTGCTATCCCAGTCATTAGATTTTTGTGCAGATACTAGCAGGTAGATATTCTGCATTTCTTCCCCTACTAATTAGCTGACTAGCCTGAATTTTCATCTCCTGTGATTGGGATTGGTAGGGGAAGTCATGTGAAAGAGGGGGAAATATTGCACATGTGGAGACCACACCAGATGTAGGCAACCTGTATGGACATTGTGGTTCAAAGGGTTTTCTACCCATGGTGCATTTTATACTGGTATTGGAGTATTTCCTCTAGAGTTTTGTGTGAGTGCACTAAAGACTGCTTCTTTTCCATTTTAAGAGGTTCATACTGAAACATTCTAGGGTCTCTCCATGTCTTCAGCTCTGCAGCAAGGCAGTTATAACTAATGTTGGGCTTATGAGCATTTGTTTTTTTTAAGGGCATCATTTTGCATTTTGAGATTGTCATTAAAATGCACAGAGTTGGTTTTACTTGCTTAAGACTGGGTGCTATATAACACAATAATGAAACAGAATGTTCTTAAATATTTAATTATTCATTCCATGACAACAAAAAGATAAAAAGGTGCCTTTTGGCAAGACCCAACAGCATGGAGAATCTGCCTTTCTAGGACAGATAACAATATTCCAGTTTTCAGCACCTTGGCAGATAGAGTTGGCCATGTGCATAGTGTTCTTTTTTACAGAAAATAACTGCAACCCAAGAAAGAGGACTTCACAACTCCTAATCTTCATGCTTGCACAACCATCTTTTTAAATTTCTCCATGTTGTCATAAGCACATTTTCCATTGCTCAGCACTTCCTGTCAGTCACCTGCCTTCACACCATCTTCTATGCCTCTTACATAATTTAAAAAGGATTGCTATAGAAATTGTCTCATATATGTTATAAGTGGAAAACTGCATCAAAACCAATGAAGTGTAGCTTGCCAGTTCATTTATTCTACAAAGCTTACAAAATTGCAATCCTGAATTACTAACTACTCTTCTCACCTCTCCTTTTTCTTTTTAAAAAGGGATGTGCCCTATTTGACCAAGAAAATTTCTTTTAAATAGCTATTTGTTTAGATATTTATAAAATTAATGCATGATAGGTCATAATTTCCATAGCTTTCTAATAATTTGCCTAAGAGGAAAGTAACGTAGATCCGTATTGGTGGGAAAATGAAACTGGTAGATCCAATGTAGGAAAATGAAAATGTTAAAACTTTTTATTAAAAAGAACCTGCTCATGCTTCTGCTATCTTGACATCAAATGTTGATTAAGAGGCAAACTGTATTGCAAAGACTTTAAAACATGCTATGTGGAATTGTCCCCATCTATGTTACAGAATATAAATGTAAAGATGTAGACCAGTTCAGCCTACCAACATTGCTTTTAGTTTACCAGATTATGTCAGAGCAAAATGCCTAGCGATTTCTGCACTTAGAATTCAGAATTTTTATTCTGCAAAGGATCCTGGCTATGCTTATTTTTTGCCCTGTGCATGCCATACAAACCTGGGACTCCCCTTGAACTAATATAAATTATGCAGTCTTTGTGTCACAGGAGAGACTTGAAGATGCAGGTCAGGATTCACATTTTAAAGATAGAATAATAAGTGGCATCAGTTCACATTTATAATTGCCAACAACATGCCCCATCATTTCTGGGCATAACTGGGGGAAAGCTGTGGTGTTGATAGGTCATTTAGGTGGGATAGGTAGTATAGAATTTTAATAAATAAATGTACAGTTACATCAGTCTGAATCCGCTGTATTTTTCCTCCCATTAAAACCAGTGTGAGGAAAAATAGCTTATTTAAAAACGGAACTACTACAGTGAAAAGTTATGATAGCCTGTCCATCAAGCCTGATGGAATTCA